CCTCGTTACGATGGTATTTTACAGTCACCCACGAACACGCTCGACCCCGGTTCCGACAATGTTTACAGACGCACACGTGTTAGCCGAAGCATTGGTGAAACGAGAAGGTTCTCTCTTGGAATAAGAGTGCGTGCCTCTTAGCAATAATAACCATTAAGGCGTGAGGGAATGCGAGAGGTGACGTCACCCATTCAACATTCGTGATCCATCGAACACTGTCAACCTCAGCCTTCGAAGGATAAATTCTGAATCTTAATATCGATGGCCTTTCGATACTTTCTTTGCTAGATGTTTTCTACCTTCGTAAGAATTCCTACCTTTCAACTTCCTCGAGTCGAACTACAACACTCTTAAGTCTAGTTCACAATGCTAGGGAATCGCTATAATACATAGTAGACGCTAGTAGTACAATCTACCATTTATTCTACCAATGTAAAATAAACTTAAATTCTATAAAATGGTGCTATTAACTTGTATACCTAATCTATGTACATTGCATTTTTGCTAACTCTAACATTCTATCGACTTACATAACTCCACCAATGTGAACTAAGGTTCAACGACTATAAACTATAAAATTGATTGCATTGCTTTTTTGCCGAGTCCTCGTTTAATGGTCTGTTAACGTTCCTCCGAAGTCGTCAAGTTGCCTAGAATATTTGTGAAAGTTTATTATCCCAGAGGTAGGAATATTCTGTTATAGGTTTTCTCTTTCACAAAAATTCTTGGAAATTAAGAATAGCCCGTGTCTAATGCTTCTTGAAGATTTTAATTGTACCGAAGGTTCATTAAAATCGAGGTAGGTCAATTAGATGATGTCTCTTATAAATAGCCTGAGGACCGTGATGACTTTCGACCCCATGGGGCAACTTCCGTATAGAAGGAAGGTTTGTCCAAGCAAACAGACATCGTTCTATGGGGGTGGAAGAGACGATCGATAAGGAGTCAAGTTGAAATCGTTATACCATGTATTCCACTCCCGTAAAGATTTAATTGTACCGTTCGGAAAACAAAGAATTATGGATGTTCGATTGTCTAAATCAAAATGTATATAATGAATTTTCACTGACCATTCGTCGACTTTACATTTAACTTGAACAATCACCGTTTGTCATTTTTAGATATCGTGCAAGTAGTCATACTTTTAATATCAACCAACTTCCTCTCGTCGATACATCGAGTGGTTTTTTTTTTCATGGAAAAAATGATTTAAACATGTTATCGATTACACGATTTCTTTTCATAGAAACATGACAATCTGGCTTTTGTTATTCATACTCTTCCAGAAACTTCGTTACTTGAAAGTACCAATGTAAATGATTGGATTAACGAATGAAATCATCCAGTATATATAATTATGTCTTTAACGAGCAATAATATTAATTTAGAGTCTTCCTAATTTTTTTCAAAAATAAGAGAGCCGTGATGCAAGTAAGTTCTCAAGCATTTTGGGTTTAATGTCCAGATCAATGAACTGGCAGGTCGATAACCTTAAGAAATAGCAATAATCTATACCAAAGTTATACGGATGACTATAAAGGATTCGATAATTTTTCTACGTGATCGTGATTCGAAAAATTTTCGGCGTTATTGTTGTCTCTTAGGTCAACGTCCCAAGGAGTAATAATTTGCCCCAAATTTGTCAACGATCTATCATGAAAAATCAAATAAATTTCATGCACGATTATAATTCTCAAAACTATCCTTATTACGTAGGTAAAAGGCTCGATATAACGCTTCCTAAGAACAATAAATTTCATCCCGTCTGCTAACTGCTAACCGAACGTAATTTCACCCTGAAGCGGCACCCTGACATTTTGCAGACCACATCGACGACCACTGACGACGGTCTACCTGATCTCTCGAGTAACCAATTTACCTCCTCCCCTTTTGATTTGTTGAGGGACGCGGTTCTAACCGTGTTTCCTACCATTTTCGAGCGATGGTACATTTTCACTGATCTTCACAGTGACTTCGTTGCTCGCCAACTTCTGAGGAAATTAAAGTAAACTGATATACAGTGAAATATTTACACAGATTCTTGGAACTGTTTGGGAAAGGATCACGTAGTGTTATAAAATACACGGGAGTTTGTTCGTGAACTCTTAATCAGTGAATGCTCACCTTAAAGATAATAGGAAACACGATGACGTGTACTGTTAGAGGATGAAAATGCGAGCATCGAATCGGGTCCTTATTTTGGACATGTCGTCAGGATGATATCATCGTTTCTTACGCGTGTACCTAATACAAAATCGTTTTGCGGTTTTAAGGCACGTCCGTTATTCTTTCGTGTTAGTCACACGTGCCGGTTGAATCCCAATAGAAGAGACAGAACGAGCGAAAGAGAGGGAGGAGAATTTTTTCCATTTCGCAAGACCTCCCCGATGAGGCTGCATCGGTTTTACCACGTCGTTGTTTTATTGCGTTTACTCGAATGCTTGCTTTATGATGCATTGCGTAGTGCAAGCTTCTCTTGAGTCACCATGGACACCGGTTCTTCCCATCGTCATTGAGTTTCCCCTTTTTGTTTGTACGCCAAAGTGAAATGAAAGATAAGTGGAAAGATTTGAAATCGATAGAAAGATAGTAAAATAATATTAATTAAATTTCTATCAAAATTTAACAATTATACAAATCTCTGAATCGATTATTTCGTTCAATATCAGCAGTATTTCAAGGAAACATATCGTTTCAGTCCGACACACGAGATCGATGAAAAGGGTCTGCATGGTGGAGTATCCATGGTGAGAGTAAATTGAGCAATGGGACACCGTGGCGTCTTTCTAGACCGTTGCTAGGGAAGTCCGGCGCGGTGTCGTGATTAGGGGTTGCAAGCTAAGTAGGAACAGAAGCGGCATGCGGTGGTCAGCCATTAACCTAGATTTACAAGTCATTCTCTCCTTAATCGTACTTTTTCTTTAAAAATAACTTTATTCCATTTCTAAACGGTTTTTGATATTCTCTCTTAAATAACTTGACCCAGTTGCACGATTTTCTTTTTTAGTTACTTGATTACTTTACATTTAAAGCGTCGTAACGTATTAAAAATTCCCTTAGAAAGTGGCAAGCTCGCTTTTAAATTGAAGCTCATCAAAGAGCATTCGCGATGCCCTAAATCTGCAAGTCTTTCAGGACACGAAATTCGCGACGCATCGCCTCGCTCGAATCAGGCATACATTCAGCAAGGTTGTAATAAAAGGGACAGGTAAGATCATGAGAATCGACAAGGGTTCTGCAAATGGGAGTAGGTCAGATCGTGATTTTACCTGTCGACCATAGTTGTGCATAAAGATATCTGAAAGATCCAACGACACGTTCGGATTACAAGTGTGTTCGAGTTACGCCTGGCACGTCCCATTTTTCCCTTAATAAGGGTGTGGTTACTGGGTTCGAATCGAACCACGTATATAACCGTTGAACGATAAAGTCCAGCGTGTCTGAAAATGGGGTAAACTGGGTGTAGACACGCAGCCAAAGGGGTGCGGGCCTGTTATTTCGTTCGTTCTACCGTTTCAATCGTGCTTTTTCACTCGCCGTTAACTATGCACTAACGATACTCTCATAAGCCACGTGAAGAAGTGGGAAATCATTGTTGGAAACAGTGGTACGGGGCCGCGTATTATTAGAAAACGTTCTGCTCAGACACGCTGCTCTGAAATTAAACGTATGTCGTGCACTAGAAATCCAATTTTACGTCCTGCATATTGTATGCCCTTCGTTCAAAGAAATGCAGCTTTTCAAATAAAAACTGACTTAGAAATGGTTCTTCTTTGAATAGAAATAACAAGCTAAAGTGAACTAGAGTGAGATTCGCTCTAGAGCCAACCCTTTCACGATCATTTCCGGTCAGACCGGAAAATAAAAAAATTTTCGGCCATTCGTTGAGATTTTGACCCACTAAATACAATGCCGCAAGAATGTTTTCGATAATTCTTACTGTTTGGCCTGTACAAAAGTGACAGAAAGTCTAAAAAGGGGAACTACCCAAGTGTTACACTCACTTATTAATGAAACTTTGCCAGCTTGTAGAGCTCGTCGAGCTGAACACGCCTATACGCCCTTTTGGGGGCAGACGACTAATTGTTTAAAAGATATTAATAATTAAAGTTAGTTACTACTTACATTGAGAAGTATGACAGACACACATACAACTCGCAATCTAGAGATCCACAGTTCAAATCTTTAGTTCCCAACATTTTTTTTTTTTTTTTAATAATAATTTGTCTCTTTTTGAATAACTATTACATAAGAATTATCATAAAAAAGAAAAAACAAATTTTGGGAACCAAGGATTTGAACCGAGAACAGTCGAATTGCGAGTCACGGATCTACTCCGTGGTTAAACACCTGACTCGTAATCTAAAGGTCCTTGGTTCAAATCCTGGGCGACCGTTTTTTTTATTTTTTTTTTTTTTTTTTTTTTATAAATGATAATTTTTATGGAATAGTTATTCAAAAAGAGACAAATTATCATTTAAAAAAAAAATGTTGGGAACCAAGGATTTGAACCGTGGATCTCTAGATTGCGAATTGTATGTGCGAGTTTGTCATACTTCAGAATGTAAGGTGTAACTAACTGTAATTGTTAATATCTTTTAAACAATTAGCCGTCTGCCCACAAAACGGGGTATAGGCATGTTCAACTCGACGAGCTCTACAAGCTGGCAAAGTTTCATTAATAAGTGAGTGTAACACTTGGGTAGTTCTCCTTGTAAGTGCTACAGCCCCCCTATCAAGATTTTCAATCTTAGATACGGGTTGGCTAATAATATTTCATATTATTCTTAATTTCAAGTAATATTTCTCTATTCGTGTTTTCGTACAAACATTCATTCTTCGCTTTTTTCAACGACCGGTATGTTGATAAGACGTGAGAAAGTAACGACGCGCTAACGAAAGGACAGCAATTCGAGAGTTTTAAAACGTGACCGTCGATCTCTGTGCACCTTGCTGTATACTGTTTGCCAATTAAATTCAATGCAATTCTTTTGTTGCAGCTTTGTGCAAACCGGCAAAGAGTTCCGATGATATGGAGTACAGTGACGATCAACAGACCGACGACTACAACGATGACGACGCCGACGACGATGATGGCGATACTGGTGCTTCTGATGAACCGCCTCAAATCATGTCCAAGTCGGACAGTATACACGTTAGGAATGGAAGTACCATTTGGTTGAATTGTCTTCTGAAGAATGCAGGTTTGTACCAAATTAAAAAACCTTCCTATTTTTCCCAAAGGCTGAGAACAATTTTTCAACTCCACACTCCGGAGTGAAGTGGATTTTCTGATCTCAGAAAAAGCCTAACGTAGAACCTCCTAATTATAATTATTAATCATAATTAATAATAGTTATTGAAACGCGGTTTACAGATAACTTTGCGGTCACGTGGAAGAAAGGCGACGAAATTTTGTATTACGATTCCAACCCTATGACCAAGGACATAGATAGGATCATTCGACTACCAAACAACACGTTGGTGATCTACAATGCCACTACCAACGATACTTCGAACGATTACGAATGTAGTATTCTGGTTAAACCACCTGTCGCGATCAAACATCGAGTACTGGTAGATTCTGGAAGATATCCGGTACCACCACCACCACCACCATCACCACCAGTCCAGCCTCACAGACCTCTGATACGTGTCACCCCTGGCAGGAAGGTGGAAGTTAACGCCGGTGAAAACGTAACCCTCGGCTGTGAAACTAGAATACAACCTACGCCTGTAATTAAATGGTACCACGAGGTAAGGAAACGAATGCGAATATTCGTTATGTTCTGACTTTTTCACTGTCTTAATATTATTTTAATCTTTCTATGATAGAACAAGAGGGTCCGTAGTAACGTAATAATCGATGGCAATCACATCATTATCACGAAGATTACCAGACACGACGGTGGATGTTATCAATGTCTGGTGGAGAACGGCTCGAAGAAACCACCTCTGGAGGCCATTAATGTTACTGTTAACTGTAAGAAAACTCGGTGAACATACCTCAACACTACGCCGACCTACTATTCTATATTTAAGATGTTGCCTCACCGTTGTAAATCAAACATTTAAAAAAGTATATTTGTTTTCGTAGACGCGCCCGAAATAGAGACAAAGGGGAAATGGGTGCATACCGGGCTCGGTGTTGAATCCCGGTTAACGTGCAACGTCCACGCTCATCCGCACGCTAAAGTAACGTGGTTCAAGGATCAAGAGCAGGTGATACCGAAGAAAGGCAGTATAGAGATCAAAGGGGAAAAAACTCGGCACGTACTGGAAATTATACATACGGAGAAGGAGGACTTCGGCGATTACACATGCGTGGCGGAAAACCAAATGGGACGAGCGGAGAAGACTATTTCCCTCACTGGTAACTTCCTTAGTCGATAGAATTTAGGTCAACGGGACATTTTAGATCACCAGTTACGAGCGTGACAAAAATATTTCTAACGAATCGGCTTCCATACTGGCAGTTATAATAATAACTAACGATACACGGTTATTGCAGGCGTCGTTAGTTTTTGCTTTAGCAATGATTTCTTTAGTAGAGAATGAATTTTAGGTGACGATAATGTCGTGACTATGGAATATACACGCTTAGTTATAAATTTATTAAAATTCTCCAGGTCTTCCATCTCAAGCAATCATTTCTGGGGGTGAGATGACAAAGACTGCTTCGGGATTGATTCTAAAATGGCAGTTGGAAAGTTATTCCCCAATTACCGAATACAAAGTAATTTAAAACTTAACTTATGTACGTTGAAATTGTATTCTTTGTATTTCATTATTATTAAGGAATTAATTAAATGATTATAGTTGGAGTATCATCGTGTGGGTGACGACAGTTGGACTGTTGCCAAACCTACAGTGACAAACGGTAAAGGGAATCAATTCACTGTTGAACATACCATCGTAGGACTTCAGCCTGGATCGTACGAAGCGATTGTTAGGGCTAGAAACGATTTCGGATGGTCCCAACCGTCGAAACCCCATGTATTCACAGGAGGTATGAAGATACACATTTAATAAATTTTAAGCTTTAAATTGATATACCGTAGGTGCAATTTTTGCAGTACTTTTATTTTCATCAAATTTAATTTTTTCTTTAATCATGTTACAGAATACGAAGATGAACAGGCAGAACATGGTAAGTAACATATAATCATAAATAATAATTCATAAATTAGATAGGTTTTTCGTATATGTTTCACTTGTTTTTAGTGAAAGGACAGTCATCAACTGCATCTCAGTTTGCGATAAATATTGCAACGTTATTCCTAGTCGTCTCGTCCTGTGCCTTCACAAGTCTGTAATTTACTGAACTTCTTAAACTATGTAGGTATGTATTCAATATGTACTTAATTTTCAGTTTTTGTAATTTTATAAAGTAGGTTTTTGTTTATAGGTAATTTGCTACAGCCAAAGCGTACACCAGCGGAAGCCATGGTGGGTTTAGTGAAAGATGAATATCTAGGAGAACTATGCATTGCTGGTGTAATATATTTTTTTAAATAATGTATTAGTTGTAATTGTTTTAGTTGCGTGGTAAGTAGCCCACGTATTTCATCGAACACAAGATGACTATACTAAGCTCGTACATTTGCTTCTTTCATTCAAGTAAAATTTGGTAATGATACAAAACAGAAAATCACATTACCATTTATGTATATATTGAGTAACAAACACATGTTTTCATTTTTAGTAGAAATTTTTTAAAAATTAATTATTCTGCTGATTGTTCGATAATTCTCCTAGATGTTCTAATATGTATTATTGAAAAAAAAAATAGCATTTTAATTGTGCTCTAAATCAGGAGTAACTATAAGGGATACTGTACTTTAAAATATATTTATATATCTATATATATTATATACATACGTATACATAATATAGTATTCAATGTATATGTAATAAGTTCAGAGATACATGATTATTATTATAATTTATTTTTGTATGCTTAAGATTATTAGATCCGTGTTCTATAAAGTTGCTTAGTGCCATGTACGCAAATTTATTTTCTCACGATCGTGTACAAAGTAAAAACGGCACTGATGAACGGTCCTTTGTATGCAAATGAAGGACATGTAGGTACCTAATGTGTAATAGTAAAGAAATAATGTTACTAAGGCTCGCCGTTACGGTTTATGTAGCAAATCAATTAAAATGCGTGGATCGGAAGCAAATATATTGTACAATGATATGAGAATTGTTTTGTTTTTTGCATGTAGGGTATATATGCTTTCGATCCGTATGACTACAATATTTTCATTTGAGTTCAGTGTAGAATGTTGTGCGTGGAAACGAGTGCCTGTTGAAGAGTGCAAGAATGATAATATCGTTTTCCAAAATAGCTTGGTAGCTTTAGTACAGACATGTCGTTACACAATCATTTATAAAGAATCGTTACAATCAATAGATTTACAAATAAACATGTACAAAAAGAAAAAGCCGTCGATCACAAGAAATATGGTTGCGCAGTTCTGTAAACGTTAATTATAGAAAGTTCAGTCACGCTTACTCCGATGCTCTGTACATGATACCTTTACTTTTGTATAGCGTCCGTTGCATTTATTCACATAACAATAAATCTGTTGCATAATTTTAGACATCTTCCAAACACTCTCTCAAGATATAATGTTCTAAACTATCTTCTAATACTATCTTCTAAACTCTAAAAGAAATACTGGAGACGTATATTTAATGTGAAAAAAATTGCACGTATTAAATTTCATCCTTCTTGCAATATTATACAGGGTGTTCGGCTAGGGGTGGGTATCCTTTGAAAGGGTGGTAGCTGGGATAATTTTGAATAACTTTTTCTTTTACCAAAATGCTTGTTAAGGCTTAATTTTTGAATTATTAATGAAAAATGCCGCACAATCAGAGCGCGCATAGTGCGCAGGCCCAGCCGTAGGAGTGTCGGCTACGAGCCGACGTGACGAGCCGAATAGTTTGGTTCAGTTTGGTTGCGACTATGGTCGAGTACGGTACTTATGTGTCTGAATCTGCGCGTTACATGCGTCGATTGTTCAGTGCTTTTTTATTAATAATTAACGACTAAATGACCAATAATGCAAAGTCACGGCAACCGCAGATTACTTCAATATAACACCGATACCAGATGAAGGCTTCATTATGAAACATTTGGTGGCGTCACACGTGAGTTATGAATTAATTGCAATATCAAACCGCCACTGAAAAGACAATTTTGACTCCCTTTAATTCTATTTTTTTAGAAAAACTTGTATTTTAAAAAGACATAAATTAAATATTTTTAAAATTCGAACCCAGCGTTACCTATACAGAAACGACGGAAACTACTCGACAATTACCGACTACCGTATGATAAGTCGGTAAGTAACTTCCGCTGTTTTCCGATAGATAGTGCTAGAAAAGAAACTAGGTCGGTAAGTTATTGAGTAGTTTCTGCCGTTTATGTATAGATAGTGCAAGGATTGAATTTAAAAAATATTTTGACTGATTTCCAAAAAATAAAATCAGAAGGAATCAAAATTGTGTCTTCAGTCCAGTCGTTTTGTATCTGCGACCACTGCTTTACATTTTTCACTTTTATAATTTCGTCGCCAGATGACACCAAGAGTACCATTTTTCACGCACACAGCGATAAATAAAATATAAAAAATATAAAAATAAAATTCACAAAATGTTCCTAAGTTATTAACTTAATTATTTTAAAATAAAATCGTGTTACATTTTATTGTTGCACTAATCAATTTATTATATAAAGTTTAATTGGAGTTCTTGCCCTGTATCTCGTCCATGTGAATACAAAGACATTTCCCTCTACTAGCTCGTAAACATCAGTGTCGATAAAAATATATTTTTGATTTATACGAATATCTATATTTCAACGTGTACTGTTCTATAATAAAAAGTAAAAGATATGATTTCTATTTTAATATTCATAAATCAGAGCGTATATTTTTGCGTATACGAGAATTAAATTAAATGGCCCGTTTTATTCAGCAACAGATAAATATATAATAAAGTAAGACGCATTTTTAGTGTTTTTAATTATCTCTGCAAGATTTATACTTATATGCATTTAGAAGTATGAAACTGGATTTATATTGTTAAATATTAACTGCTCATATTATAATGTGTGTTTTAATAAATTGTTGTTAATTCATCTTTCGTTTAAAAATATAACGAGTGTTTATACGGTATATTTTCAGTATCCCGTTTATAATACTCTCGTTAGGGTTTGAAATTTAATACGGGACGCACGTGCTTTGCTTATTTTGCACCCAAGTGGTCCCTGAAATGTTTGTTATCCTCTTCTATTTGAAGAGGTGTCGTTGTATTGGCGATGATACTCGATCACTGCGATTGGTCCATCTGCAGAATACACTCCATATATTCTGACGAATTATACTCGTTTGTGGGGGTAAGAGAAGGAAGAAAGAAGGAGTAAAGGATCAACTTAGTCGACACAGTTCGTTTATCGTTTTCGTCCAGGCTCGACGTGTTGTGCGACAATATGGATAACACGAAAAAGATATTTTCCAAGCCGATTGAAAATATTGCAGAAGAGTATCAATTGACGATCAGATTGTTAGAACTGTTAAGAAACACGAAGTACGAATTAGTGCAAGAAAATGGACAACGTCGTTTAACCGCGCCTGAGATCGTTCGCGGAGAAAAGCAACGTGTCAAAGGTGCAGAGATCTTTCTCGGTCGTCTTCCACGTGATTGTTACGAGGATGAATTAATGCCCGTGCTTGAAAAGGTTGGTCGTTTGATGGAGTTACGATTGATGCTCGATTTTGCTGGTACAACCCGCGGATACGCGTTCGCGTTGTTCGAAAATTCAAAAATTGCGAGGAACGCGTGCGCTAAACTTGACGGTTATGAAATCAGACCCGGCCACCATATCGGCGTCGTTAAATCCATCGACAACTGTCGGCTCTTTTTCGGTGGAGTGCCGAAAAACAAAAGCAAAGAAGAATTTATGACAGAACTTAATAAGATCCTCGAGGGTATCACGGATATCTATCTGTATCCATGTGCACGTGACAAGTCGTTGAACCGCGGTTTCATCTTCGTCGAATTCAAAGATCACAGAACCGCCGCCATGGCTAGACGAAAATTAATACCTGGAAGAGTGATGTTGTGGGATCATGAAATTGCGGTTGATTGGGCCGATCCGGAACCTGGAGATCCTATTGACGAAGAAGTTATGGAAAACGTAAGAATTGAAACATCTTTCGAAAATTAATCACTTAAATAAAACTAAAATGCTTCATATCGCTATTTGAACATGAGCAATGGAATCATTTGTACACCGCCATTTTGTGTAAACGAAGTAATATTAAAAACTTTCAGGTAACCGCTCTTTTTGTACGAAATTTGAGTTTGGATACGCCACAACAGAAAGTTCGAGACACGTTTCAAAAACATACAAAAATTCCAATATTAAAATTAAAAAAAATTAATCATTTCGCATTCATACATTATGAAAACCGGCAAGCAGCACAGATCGTAATGGACATTATGACGAGTACATACATTATTTTCTTTTCATCGTTTTAATTATTTTTTTATCTTTACATATATACATGTTATTAATAAATAAAAATAAATGAAAATTAGGACCCAATAGTATCGCTGAAACAGAAGGCTGGGAAATACGTTGGGCGAAACCAATCGGAGCGACTAAAGTTCTGGAAAGACAACGATGTATCGACGAAGCAGTGGCAAGAACGAATTCGCAAAAATTAAATCAGAATCGGAGTAAACGCATGTTGGAGAAAAAATCGAACGCTAAACCCAACGTGGATCTAAATGACAATGAGGTCACTGATACGACGTCGATATACATGAATGTTTTACAAAATTTTATCAAAGAAAGGTTTAACGCTTTCTGTTCTTTTGACTGTTTACACGTGGGGAACACGATAGGTTATGCGTGCAAAGTAATTACTCGATTTCCATTTCATATTGCACAATATTCATCTTTCATACTTACTTATTTCATTTATGCTTGTTTTTGTTTAGATAACTATTTTTCAAGGCTCCCTTATTTTATTCGAATATCACGGAGAATTGATGCCGACCAAACAGAGCGCAATAGCTATTGCATGTACAAAGATGCACCAACTGGTCACCACTAGCTTAAATTCTTCTGGTAAGTCCATCCATAAGATATTTTATTCTCTAATCCTCGCCAGACGAATCGAACCCAGCGTTCAGGGTCGCATAGAAACCGGTGGTTGTAATTTGATACGTGATTTTTTTGACGCGCACAATGCTAGTCGTTTCTCGGAATAAGATCAATTCTTTCTCTTTCATTATTCAGGAAATTTCCAATGTGTTGTGCTCATTTTCTATGGTTTAACGTTATAACTCGTTTAAACATCAAACTACTAATTTTAGTATTATGAACAAATGTATTTTGATGGCGGATTCAGAAAGTTTACTTGTGGGGAGGGATATAAAATAGATTTTTAAACTTTTTTGCACGATCTGAAATTTGTTTATACGTAGTTTATTCATTAACGTTTTATCCGAGAGCAGCGTAAATAATTAAATGCATATGAATTACTTAATCAGCTAAGGATAATGAAAAGTAAGTACATATGATTTATACACATCTTTTTATTTTTTTATTTTTTTTTTTAACAGTGTTACAGGGCAATGAACAATATTACATGAATCAAACAATAGGGATTAATCCTGTGGTTGGGTCACCAGTTAACTGGCACAATAATACACAATATAATTAGATACAATTTTTTTTTTAAGATGAATTTTTGAATTCGACCAACCAAAGATTAATAATAATTATTTACAACGTAGAGATCCGAGAGCATGATAAAACGAACGTAGAGAATATTTTTAGAAATTTAATAAAATGAAATTAATATTTTAAAGGAAATATTCGTACACTCAAAATAAAAGATTTTAATTAAATTTTAAAAATGAATTTTATAATATTTCACTAATTGTGATTAAAAACCACATGTTTAAAAATCGTAGTAATGGAATGTCAGGTTATACTTTAAATAATGAAATGAAATTTTAACTGAAATGTTTATAAAAGAAAAAAATGGATTGTTCATGAATATTGAATTTAGAAAATCTGATAATCGCAGGTTCTCTACGTTAAACGACATAGTTTAAGCGTTATTTTAATAATATTAATATGATTATAACATAGTTACATAAACAATATACTATTTACTATTAATTAATTATCATAAGTGAAATGTAATCTTAATTGAATTTTAAGTGAGACTTAAAAGTTGAGAATCATTTTTTGTTTTTGTGATAATACATCTGTAAGAATCAGTTTTATTTTTGTGATAGTACATGTGTAAGAAATGTACGAAAGATGTTACGTTTAGTTATTTATAATTATTTTATAAAAGTATAGCTCACGTTAAAGCTGAAATAAACAATCGTATTCAATCATTTGGTGTCTGAGTTTATTAAGTATGAAGGCTCAGCTCCGTTGTCCGAGGGTTAATAACGGTCCTTAAGAAGTAACGTTATTCGATCCTCGGGAGTTAATTTATAATCGGAAAGAGTACGATTATCCTCCAAATAATAACCTTGAATCCAAAGTCTCATCCTGTCGGGCTTCCAAATTTCGTTATTTCTTTCATATAATAATTCCGAAAGCTTTTGCTTCAGATATCCAATTGTTTTTGAATAATAAATTCTTAATTTTAAACGTGGACCATCGAGTCTGTATATCGTTACAGTCGGCTCACAATTGCATGATTTCATTTCTTGTAAATTTGGTGCAGTAGGTGATTAATATAATAATTTCAACATTTCGTTAATTAAATTTTTTTAATCATTTTGTTAATTTTCTGTGAGGGTTAGAATACACAGTAATATATATATTTTTTCATTTAATGCTTCTAACTTCTCGATGTAATTTATATCCATACACAGTAATTCAAAAATATTTTCATATAATCTTGATATTTATTTCTGTTAAAGTAATTATCTTTAAATGATCGAATGATACTATGAATAATTAACGATCTGTATAAATACAGATAGTAAATTAATTATTCATACTCCAAATGTAGCATTGAAACATGGTAACACCTAAAAATATATGAATAGTTAAACATCGAAAGATACAAGTAGGTCAATGGTAACCCAGATCTACAAAACATGTATGGTTTTAACTAGATTTAAATTGAAATTTTCAATTTTTCAAGCAGACTCGTATAAATTGTTTATTTTGAAAATAACAGTTATTTATTTATAGAAAATCTACAGTTTTCACATAATTTAACGAATTAGAAATTTGTTAGTAAATGAAACGTCATAGCCAAATTATATAATACATTAGAAAACTAATGTCTAAAGGAAGGGTGTAAAATAAAATTTAAATTGTTCTTTGTCTCGACTACTCGCTGTCCAAGGATTAAATGGATATTTTGAAATAGAAAGGAACTCTCATAAAATAATTATTTAGTTGGTGGTGAAAATCTAGCCAGTGATCTTGACATTGGTTTTAAGACGGTCTCATAGTCCTCGAGTATTCTTCGCACGGTCTCGTTATCTGTGTTTCCGGTAGCATTCTTTGGTCTCATACAACGAACCAACTGTCGTGCTTTCATAGTGCAATCCAAATTTTGTTCTCTCATAGTAGTGGAAAATATTTGCTGCGTGAAGTCGAGTAGTTTTCCAACGGCGCAATCGAGAATCGTGTCTTTCGGTATTTCACCCTGGCCGCTCTCCGAGCAATCTTTGATGACGGCGTTCATCCACCCCCAATCCTCCCATTCCTCGTTGTATTTTACGCGTTGATTTTCCAATTGCCACATCAAAAGTGCACGAAATCTATAAATTACACAGAAAGAATACAATTGAACTTTCCACTAATCTGAATATTCCAACACAAGGTATCTTCTTATATCATAACTTGTTTCTTCTTTTTATTCAAAGATATTAAAACAACAAATAAATTCAATAAATATAGTTTATGAAAGGCTCGAAGAATAAGAAATATGTCATTTCTCGTGTTTCTCCCCAATTCATCAAAAGTTATGAAAGTTCGAGTTATACTCACCCCCAATTCAGTGGATTCTTTTCAAACTTCACATTTTTAAGGTTTGTTAGGTACGCGAACATACTGTATTCGATAGTTTTAATTCGGTTATAATCAAAATAGAAGTTTTCCAAATTGGGAAGAAGCTGGAATATTCTGTAGTCGATTACTTCGATGTAGTTGAACGATAGATCTAGGGTCTTCAAGTTGTAGGTGTTCACAAACCAATCTCCTGCCACAAATCTCAATCTGTTGTCCCATAATATTAAATTTTTCAACTTTGTGAGTCCTATGAATGCATAGGAATCTATCGTTCCTATGCCGCACCCATGTAAATCCAATGTGATTAGTGTTGCACCGAATCGTGCGAAAGCATGTCTGCGAACATTTAAATATGTTATATTTCATTAATTTCATAAAACAAAAAGTAGAAAGAATCAATCAACTGTTTTGATAATGGAACTTTAATTTTCATACCGCGAAAGAAATATTCGGAAAAGTTGTATTTCAAATTATAGAAAGTATTGATTTTGATTCTCGGGTTTCCTGCAATTCAATATTTCAATATTGTGATGTTTGCCTATTTTTTAAATATCTTACTGTTAATAAAATACAAAGGTTTCCTTTCATTTTGGATATTACACTTTTATGACATCCAATGCTAATTTATGATTTTTAATCATTTTACAACTCCATGACTTCGAAATTCAACTTTGGAAACTTTTAATTAATTTTTGCCATTTCGTAGAGTAAATTGTTGTTTCCTAATTCTATTACCTTTTTTTAATCACAAAGTGTTTCAAAGGAAAAGTTGAATAATTATTATCAGCAAGGTATTATAATTGTGTTTAATTATTAAAGTTATACGTTATAACGACATCGTTACGGAATGATATTTCAGTTTGTTAAGACATAATAATACTTTTTGTCCAAGCGCGGATTTTCACATTTTATCACATTTTTGCGTTTGCTGCGGCTTCTTTATAAACGTAATGAAGATAAGTAGTCGCATTCATAAATACCATATTCTTATTTGAATAATACTTTCATGCTATTGCTAAGCACGACTTCAAGTGATGCTTTTAGAATTTCTGCTCTATGATGAGTCAGAAGCATTGTTTTTCAGAGAGTCGTTTGTTTAATTTCTAAAAAGCAAAACCATTGAAAACATTCGTGAAAAACACCCTAAAAGCAAAGGCATAAAAACAAGGGATGGAGTCCAGGGTAATATGGAGTTATTGCAAGATTCCTTTGTGTGTTCATCTCTGTTTCGCGAAATTTCATTATGAATCATTTTTAGTACTCGCTATTCTAATTTATTAAATTTAATTAAAATTTCTCCCGGCGTGATTTATCTATTTCAAACAAAAACTTTTATTTTCAACCACTCTCATAAGTATCTTAAGTATCCTTTTCTAATTCACAAAACTATATTTAATATCCATATTTAATATCCATTAAAAGTTAGATAAAATTACTTACCCTGGTATGTGAGCTATCCTCGAATCCGTAATTTCAATACTGGTAGTATTACTCTTCGCTTTCTCCAATTCGAATAGGTTCGTTAAATCTGTACACACATACTCCACCGTATTAACACCTTGCTGGTTGATAATGGTTTGACACTTGTCCTGTCCGGCCACGGCACTTGCCAATAGATTGAAAATGAAAAACGCTATTAACAGATACTTCATGATTCTACGTTGGACAAAGAACAGCGTCGAGAACGAGCGTTTAATTAACTGAACATTCTTCTGATAGCTCATGCGATGCGCAACTGGATTGCGTGGGCGGAGTATCCTTCGCTTCTTGTTACGAATTTCCTCTTTCGATAAGGAATCGGTTTGCGCAGTTGATTGGAAAAAAGTCGCCTCGTAGTTTGAAGAATAAAAATTCTAATAAATCAAATAACAAAAGATCTGTGTAAAAATAAAAAAATTATTATTAATTATTGTTATCCTCTGATAACCAGGAGGATAGGGGAGGATTGTTATAATAAAAGAAGATACACGTTATGGTAAAAACAACGTTTATTGTCTTAGATTATATACACGAATACACAACCGAGACGTTAACATCAATAAATAATACATCCATGTATGTTGTCGAGAACGTTTAACAAACGTCGATAGATCGGCCGTGTAAAATCGCCTATCGGTTTGATCGCTCTGAAAATCAACAATAAATCAATATCATTTTTTATCGCGATTGCCTCAGAAGTTCGTTTCAACATGCACCCGCACTAAATAACTCACAACAGTTCAGTTCTTTCGAAAATAACTGTACATCCGTGTTTAGGAAGAAACGAACTTTCATGAGAACTTTGGCTAATTACGACGGTTATCGGGTCGATCGGTGATCAATAGCGTTCTTCTACCGATTTCATCGTATACAGCTACAGTTATTGTCATAGAAACAGTTCGTTATTTACACCGTAGAATGATCATGTGTCGCGCATCTATCGTCCGAAGTCGATGATGTTCATTGACCTTCCTCTTGCAAATCACTATAATCCGTCCATCGGGACGAGTCAGGATATGTTTGGAAATTCATGCGCTCGATGCAGGGCCAAAGCTCAGTTGTTTCCAGTTCTTCAAACGTTTCGGTCGAGGTTTGTAAGCCGTGAATTTGTACGCATTTACTGTCTCGGTCCCGTTGGATGGAGTAGGAATCCTCCTCGGATTTTACCGAGCTTTTTCATTCTAATAAATCGGTCAAAGTGAACTCTGATTAAAGGGTCATTTTTTCAAACTTAGTATAAAGGTAACTGTACAGAGGATATAATGAACACAATGGTAACTTTTGTGAGCATAGCCGTAGCCCATAGTTTTCCAACCCTTTTTAGCTCACCACGCCCCTCGGGTGCAGCGCCTGCTACTACTAAAATTTGCAAGTGTAATTGTGCGTGTAATTTCGTAACTTTAAAACGTGATATTGAAAATAAAGAAAGTAAAATACTTAAGTGTAAAAGTTTCAATGTAATTTTACTTGAAAAATTAATTGAAACTCTATCTAAGGCTAACAGCACCCCGTCGGTTTACCTCGGTTGGGAAACTATGGTGTAATTTGAACACAAGTATAACTCTCTCGAAGGTAGTTTGTTCGTACGTAAGAGTAGCTTTCGTAGGTAGTGTACACGCGATAGGAGCTTCCGTGTATCCTAGACGCGAGAGGGGGTGGGAAAAAAGGGTGATTTGTACTCTTCCGTACATACGAAACGGTGAAGCTTTACGAGCTACAGATCACTATCACTATGAAAGCGAGCATTAATCCTACGCAGTTTAATCGCGAGTGTCGCGAGGATGTGACGCTGTTCTGGACGTTCAGTTGTGTCGGTGCAAAATTCGCTGGCGCAGGTGCGGGTGCCGGATATGATGAAACTTTCGATTTTTTCGCGTTGCTGTCCGTCAAAGCGTTCGAACTGTTCCTTCGGAGCATAGGCGTTGTATGACCTATATTTCCACTATTTTTCGACAACGAACCAGCTCCTTCTCGGCCGAACAAATGGAGCTTCCCTTTCCTATCGGTCTGCTTTTTCGGCCCGTGTTTACCGATGAATTCCGTGTTACGTATCGGTACCGAAGTGGTCCTCGTTAAATGTGACTCTGGAATCATTTCATTAAAAGAATTCTCGAGTGGTTCGAATACTTTGTAAAATTTTCAAAGAGAATAAATTGTATTAATATGATACTTTGACGGTGAACGGTTAAAGTCAAGAGCAAACAGGCCATCCATCCTATACGTCCTATATTTGATAATGTAGAATGATAGTTACCTTGAAGTCTTATCGTCCCGTCAGCCTTGCCGAGTAGATTTTCCGCGGAACACGTGTAGCTTCCAAAGTCGTCCCTGTTCAATCTCTTGATAGTGAAATTTAATTGATACGCGTAGTCGTTCAACGTGACCTCCGACAGATTGTGTTTCTCGTCCGGCAATAATTTTATACCTGCAACGTCCACAGGATATCGGGGCGGAAGGAACAGTTTACGTTACACGATGAGTGCGATCATTAAACCGAACGCGTACTCGTGACAATGAGAAATAACCGTTGCCATTCGATATTGCTCAACTGATTCCTTACCGTCCTCTCTGTACCATGTGTTCAATGCTTTCGGCGATGACTCGACGTAACAATGAAGAACGACGTCGCTGTTAGCCGGGGCTGCTACTAATTCGTTGGACACTTTAATCAGCGGTTTAACTGCGCCGAGAAAACTATTATTAATTATGTAAGTTTGTTCGGGAAATTTTGAAGAGCGACTCCGCCACTTACAACGAACGTTCACGTAATATCTTTTGCTGACCGTCGGTGGTACACCATTTGACGCGATGCATAGGTACGACCCCATCTCCTGTCGTAGAATACCCCTTAGGTGAAGCTCTTCCCCTTCGTACGATTTCACTGTATCATGATGTTAAATAATTCATTAGAATGTAATTGCCGTGGAATGCAATAACGCCGCTAAATTAGCCACTTTAGTAAATGAAAGTTGAAAAACAAATTATGTCGAGCAATTAATGTAATAATTATTCTTGTAAAATAGAATGTATTTTATAGAGAATATGCAAGGATATGTACATGTTGGTATAATTACAACCAAACCTGAGCAAGTTTCATATTAATCATCTCACAATTACGTTTTTATTAAATTTAATACCATTACTCAGGAACCAACTTACTTCGCTAAGCTGTAATACGTTTGTATGAACCAAATGAGACCTTTGTAAGTGAAATATGTGTTCCTGAATTTTGGTTACGTTTGTATATTACATGTGCATATTCTCTCTGTATGAAAGACATACTTTTTTTATACATATAATTAAGTATATTAGTTGAATATGTTTTGCAGAAAGGTCTTCTCTCTTCTTCTTTTTCTTCTTCTTTAATTCGAAAAGTATTTCATTATGTTGAAATTCAAAGATAACATACAAAATCAAATTACACAATTCTCGAGTGGATAGACAGATTTTACAGTACTTTCATTCCACTTGACATTCTAGATTTCCTTTTCCTCTTGAATTTTCCAATCGATTTCATCTTGCTGTCTATGGTATTCCATTTTAATATCCGCGTTTCGATTACAATTTTCGACGAGCGATGACAGGAAACGAATTTAGTTCATTAAGAATCCAAAAAACAGGGGTGAGTAACCACCGTGATATAGGGAAGATATACATTTTAGGGCAGAATCACTGGCACGATATAGATTCTGAGTGGTAGACACTTTCGCGGTGCAGTGTACACAGCGAATATTGCAATCGGGTATGCGAATCGATGGGGTCGGCGAAGAGGAAATATATGTAAAGTCAACATCCATCACTCACTGTTAGAAAGGCTAATCGGCTGGCTGATTTTCCACAGAACGCGATGGACCCGACCGTACCACGTTTACGCGTTCTCTTACGTTCAACAAAAGCTTCCCTTTTTCACGTAACTCGCGTGGAATATTATTTTTCTTATCATTTCAAAAAATCTTCCATTCCATACACGTGATTTCATGCTCGTTTACCTGCATATTTGTTGAATTTAATTAGTCTATCGGCTAATTTGAGGGCATCAAATAAATTAGGCGAATCTAACTGGAGAAAGTCTTTACATGATGTTATAAAATATCACTTTTATCAAATAAACGAATTAAATGTTATTTGAAAAATTCATTAATTCATTAATTCTAGAATAAAATTGAGAAAATGATTAATGATTGTGTCGAAGAGAAGTATTTCTATCTACCGTTGATAATTCTTGAAATGTGATTTGTATAAATATTACCTCTTTGGACACCATGCTCCGTTCGAAGGGTGATATTTCGGCCGTCTTCTCGCCGCCAAGTGACCGTAGGTTTCGGTGTCCCTGTGGCTCGACATCGTAATCGCAGATCACTGTTCTCTTTAGCCGTTAGATCAGCCGAGTCGTCCAAATCCATGATATCGGGCGGTATCACTACCTTCATATGTCCCGTCTGTGTAAAGATCGTTACAAGCTACCATATAGTATCATTTATCTTTCCACTGGAAAAAGGATCCGACCTCGTGGTCCAAGCTACGTTCCCATGGACATTTAAATCAAGCTTAGCCCGCGGATTCAAACCTCAACAAATGCGATTGCTCAACGGAGACTTGCCTTTAATCTGGCTTTAGGCTTCGAAAAAATACTGAGACAGGAAGTCTGCTCGTAACTACTAGCTTGTATCATATCAAATGGCCGACTTCGGAACATAGAAAAATCTAAAGATATCATCGAATTGTCATCAATTCACGTCAGAGACTTTCTACACTTCGAAATTGACCATTTGATATATACTAATGTTACCGAACGCAAAATAAATAACGCGTCGCTTTGTTTTACGTTCACTTTTTTTTAGGAAAAATAAAGGATCGATTTTTCATGCTTTCACGCGCCCTTTGATAAAATTTCGTCGATGTTATCTTGCCTCGATAGCAATATTTTTGACACGTCAAACGTTTAAATTCAATCGGTAATGTACAACGAGTTACCTATTAACTCGTGTCGTTTCGTTTGTATTGCATTGCCGCTTAATATTGAAAGGTTTAACGCGAACAATCAAATACTCTATACATCGAGTACAAATGAAAGTTCCAAAAAATTCGTTATACACCCTCATAAAATAATTCCTCGTGTATGTATGAAACTGGTTAGAGAAGAAATTTTCATTTTTTTACTGTAAGTTACTCAAGGTTCGAAACAAGATTATTGAAAATTTCATACAAAGTTAACAAAACAGAACTAAATTAATTTTCATATATAACAATAAGTGAATACGTTCTGGTGCATGTTTACGAATAGGTTAGTATAACTTTCGGTAAAAAGAGTATCATACACGTTCAGTTGGTGTACGCTACTACCTAGAGTTGACAGGGAAAATCATATTATAGAACGTGTTTAAGTTGACGAAGACCGTACCAACCTGACTCCTCATAGGATCCGTATTAACTTGACACATGTACGTGCCAGAATCGTTCGGTTGAACGTTGGTCACGTGCAGTTTCCACGTGTTATGTCCGTTATGAGTGACAGACAGGCGTGGGTTATGAGCGACCATGTGTGTATGAATGGCCAGAATTGCTTTGGAGTCCGACTTTATCCAGGCAACCTGCATTAATACAATCACGAACATGAACGTTCCGCCGTTTCAGCAACTGATTATAAACCGCGACTGCGACGTCTCTCTGTGTTACTTACAGTATACGTTTCTAATACCCGTTTTAGAATTAGTTCGTTATATGTTTTGGGTATTATGGTGTTTTCGATTCTGTACAAAATGCTCGACATACCACGTACAGTAAACTCTTGTTATATCATCACGGACGAAGTTATAGAAATAATAATACAACAAAAACTTATTCTGTGCAACACGTTCGGGTCCACTTACAAAGAAACATCGGGGACTGATACACTCCGATTTTGATGAAACTTTGCACAAATATTTATTAGACCTGTTTATGAAGATGACTGTAATTCGTTGGTGCCTGTCTTTCACTTTGAGGGAGATATCAACCCTTTTATCCGAACCGCCCTTTCTATATACGTGCTTATAAATCGTAAACAACAAAAGATATCAAAAAATAGTTGAAATAAAAGTTATACCGTTTCTTGAGGTCTATAAAACTGCGTAAAATTTTTCAAAACGGAGGGGGAGGGGTAATTCAATTTTGTAAAAAGGATGATTTAAAAAAAAAACTTACACGAAGCTTTATAGACCTCAAGAAACGGTATAACTTTTATTTCAACTATTTTTTTATATCTTTTGTTGTTTACGATTTATAAGCAATCGTAAAAAGGGTTGATATCTCCTTCAAAGTGAAAAACGGCCACCAACGAGTTACCGTTATCTTCATAAACAGGTCTAATAAATATTTATGCGAAGTTTCATCAAAATCGAAGTGTATCAGTCCCCGATGTTCCCTTGTTAGGTAGATGTACCGAGATTTGAAATTCAACGAGGAAAGAAAATCACAATTATTCTTATGTTCCTAAACATATGCCCACCGCTGTATCTCTATCACCTTCATTTCTACCAACTGATTTATAGATGAAGAAGAGTTCCCACTCTTGAACGTACTAACAATAAGACCGATCGTCCCGGTCGTCGTGGTTCGTGCTTTAGTGTCTATTGAACGTTCCTAGTACCTTGGGTACTTTCTTGATTAGCTAGCAGTTAAACCTTCCCTGTTGAAACACCTCCATCCGGCACCCATCTTATTACACTCTTCCTCTTCGACTTTCCCTCGGGCCTTGCGGTCGTTACCGGATATGAATAATAAATTAACGAAACGTTTCGTTCGATGAAATTTTCACTCGGAAAGCGCGAACTACCGGCAAATTGAATATTTTAACTCGTACCATTCCTTTTTTTTCTCTCTCTCTCTCTCTACGTATCTCGGTCTTGTATTAAAAAGGAACGTACATTATGAATGCACGTGTAATATTAACGTTGAATTAATTACGCGCACGAATTATCTACATGAAACGATGCAGCAGTGGTTTTCTCGGCTATTTTTCCGTGCGTTCATGAATCTCACGGTAAATGCACCTGTTAAATTTCGTAACGCAAATATTATTCCGTAACACGAGAAACTAACGATGGAAGGGATTCGCGTTACCGTATAATTTCATTGTCGTACTTCTTGCTTGAAACGAAATATGTTTCGTCGAAGATAACAGAATGTCGGCTATCGTTATTTACAGAAAGAAACTTGATAAAAAGAAGAAGAGAAAGATCGAAGGTAGATGTTTTTTTCTTTTTTTTTTTTTTTTTTTTTTAATGAACAAGCTACGATTATGACATTATACAATCGCGGATGCTCATTACAGCAAACGTGAACATTCGTTTGCTCGTTTCTACCTGGAACGTAATTGTTTACTTGAGAATCGTGGCACAAGTCAATGAACACTGTTATTGGATTCCAGGATTCAAATTCCAATCGGGTTTGTGCTTTACCACCCACCCTTCTCTCCCCACCCCTATTCGGTCTCGTTTGTACGAACATACTTCCTGGCCGCTCCGATCTGTCGTATTTCAAACGACGGTTCTATTGAACCGGTGAAAGGGCTTTTAAATCACGAACAAAAGCGGGTTTTGATCCAACGGCAATGGAATTTAAGGTGTGCATAAATAACGTTGATGGACTGCTCGCCGCTTCACTCGTCAGAATCATTCTACCTGTTGGCGGAATAATCTTTGCGCAAACAATCAGCTTCGAACGGTGTCCCGGCATTTGTTATATCTCTCACGTTAGGTGACATTGAATCGACGCGAGTCTATGTGGATTGTTCCGCCCGGACACAGATCGATTTTGCGAACGTTTAAAACGATTACCGTCGAGGAAATTTCGGAAAATCTTGGCCCGCCACCCGTGAAATTCCGACGGGAATATGACGCGAGCGTAATGGAGTCTTGGCAACGCGAGAGAAAATGATTTTCTCACTTTATTATGTTACAACACGTTCGGTGTATATGATAAAATTAATTCATCAAACTAGTAAGAAAAAGAAAATTAAATTATGAATTTAATATGTTGACTGTCGTAAAATTCCATTATGTTATTTACCATAATTTTATTGGAAAATTTCGACTAGCTGATGATTTTTTTATTGTAGTTAAAATAATTAATTTCGAGAAAATATGAAAATTATTGCGACGAAAGAATTTCTTCTTTCTGTTCGGTTGAAATTGACTATTTTTTACGATCGTCCTTTGCATACAAATTGCGAGCGAATGCTAAAGAGCGGAGAGAAATCGTGAAAAGAATGTAAGATACTGTTGAAGTGGTAAAATCAGGCCCATTCGTGGTGCACGTTATATTAGCGTCTCTGATTTATGTCCCTTCTTTCGGACTTCCTTTCTTTCCCCCGGATATTCCCTTCCTCGGTATAACATTCGGTTCCCTTATGCTTCCACTTTTCCTACTTCTTCTTCTTCTGTCACTTCTACGTCTTCCTTCTCTATCCTATGAATCCACCAGGACGAAATCCTCTGAACACGCGCCAAGAACGTTTCATCTCGCGATAGAAGCGATTGTCGATTCGAGCGCGCAATCAAACTTGGACTTCTTCTCGAAAGTGAATTACTCGTCAGGTCTGTCCCACAAGGAGTTTCGGACAGAACCGGGTGTGGACCAATGAAAGTGCACACGTATGTACTTTCATAATCGACACGGTACCTCTGTTTCATCCTATCATCATTTTCTTTAACGAGAAAATATCCAAATCTTATCGATATTTTATTTGAGGCTATTTCTTTTACAAAATCCGCCATTTAATATAATATGAGATCGTTATAAACAAAAAAGAATTAAATTAAAGAAGATATGGCAAATGAATCGTGATCTTTTTTTTTAAATTAATCTCGTTTGTATTTTAACGAACTAATTCGTGTATCTATTGTTTCCCGTTATAACGAATATAATCAAAAGGGATTTGCACGGATTGATTTGACATGTAAAGAATTGAGAATAGGCTGCCTTCGCATTGAATGACATGGATGTATGTCTCTTCTTTTTTTCTTTTTTTTTTTTTTTTCTCCATGTAAAATCAATAATTGCCAATTTTTATGATATCGTTAGTTTCGCGTAATATTGTTTCTGTTCGTACAAATACGATTCCAGTCCATTATCTACGATATTCGCAGCGTTGCCCTTAATCGACTTACTAATTACGGCAACACGTAGATGCAATTACCTTGTAAGATTGAAGATGATTAACGACGCAGGTGAAGGAGACGTCACGACCTTGAGTGACCGTATGGTTCTCCAGAAGTGCTAGAAATTCGGGCTGGACCTCGGACTTTGGCATCGCTTGACCTATGGCCAGGGTAATTAACGATCGTACGATTAATGATCCGGCAACTTTGCGTTTAATTAGTTTACCCTCTATTTACTCTAAAACAAGGAACCGCAACTTACACGTTGCAACTTTGGAAAAAAGAAAATCTACGCTTTCATTTATTCATCTGCTCAGAAGTCATAGTTCTATGACTTTCAACAAGGGGTGCGCATATGTACATCTCACCCTGTTTGATATAGATTTATTTATTTATATTTAATCTTTACATCTCTGTTAACGCGTAGCTTAAATCTAGTCGCTAGTCGTGCGCGTGTTGCTTTATAAAGATCCATGGTAACTGTTCCCAACTAAAGTTATGGGGTAATAATTCTTTTTTCCCTGTCACCCGTTCAGATTCGTTTCTGTTCCTTGTTGATGCGCTTTTTGTCGCGCGGCACGTGGATCTCGCGTTGGGGCGGAAAAAGAATGAAAAGAAAAAGGGGTCTTCAGGGTGTTTATTGACCGTATCATCGTGAGCGACGCAATCTCCCAACGCCTTATTAACCATTCTTACCCGACGTTTCACGGTTAATAGAAATCTTGTTGCATACAATATTGCATTTTAGTCATTTAGTCTGAATATTATTCATTTTTATGAAAAATGATTATTTTTGAAAACTGGAAAACTTTCTACGAAACATGAAAAATCAAGGTAAAAGTCCAGTACTTGGAAATTCTGTTCGGTGTAATGCATCAACGTCGGGATCAGAAGAGTTAAATAATAACTATGGTCGGCCATATAAGAAGGGAAATGAAAAACAGGTGAAATGTAATCACCGTGAACTATATACTCTTTTGTTGCGCGTAATTGTAGTACGACGAAGAGAAAGAAATTGGATATCAAATATATTTCGAGGGAAAAAGTCGGTTGTAATGTTTAGACGTGAACGCTGTTGTAATTTCTGGCTTGGTAGCTGCACGTGGGAATGCTTTTACGGAAGCTGGATACTTCCGATAGTGCTTTCAGAGGCGTTTTATTTGATTCTTCCCGAAAAGTGGAGCAAAGAAACGTGGCGTGGAGAGAAAGGTAGCGGGCAGGATGCTATTACGGATACAACGGGTGAGATTCATTCCTATCATTTTGCAGGGATTAAAAAACTTGTAACTTTTATCCGTCCGTGTTCCGAACGATTTCGAAACTTCTTTCTCGCTTGCATCCACTTTTCATGATCGACTGAAGAGCGCTCGAATATCTCATTTTGATACTTACCGAAACTTGAATACAGGAAGGCGGCGAGGAAGAAGCAAAGAACAATGTCCCGCGATGCCATACCATAGAACAAGCCATACGCCATACGTACTGTAACAAAAGATTCAAATTTCAATACAATTTATTTTTCATTTACTCTATTAATTACACTGGGGATTTAATAACGAAATGTCATATACACCTACACCTAAACAAACTTTTTGCCCGTAATGAGATGTTCTTTTCGAATATACCTCGTGACGAGAAATGTGTAATAACACGATCTATCAATGCGCAAAATCTCATTAAAATCTGACGGAGGACAGTTGGCGAGTTCTGATTGTCAGAAGGAAGGTGAGGTCAAGAGTTTCGCGACTTCGTCTACGGAAGCTAGTCCGGAGAAGGGGTCAAACCCGAATCGCGTGAATATTAACTCGACAGTTGGTCGCCACATAAACGCCAACCGTTGATATATCCCATCCTCACCCTCGTTCAGCCAGCGCCGCAATAATACTCGAATAGTGGGTGCCTCGTGCCTCTACTCTTCCCTTTTCAACTTCTACCCTCCGCCGAGTATTCTCACTGACACCCCTCTAGCCGAAACCATGCGATACGCACACTAACGAATCATCCAGGACACACGTCTGCTAGCCTAAACGTTTCCACCTGTGCATGTGTATCGTACGTATAAGGCCAGTCGTCAAATGAAAATTTCACTCGGACCAAAGTCTGCCCTTTATGACTTCGAGCCACGTTCTCTTTGCGTTGCCAAAAATTCCGCTTCAACTGACGCGTTTAACTTAAATAACCCCCTCGTAGACCAGAGTTAATATATCTACTGTTTACCGATCGATGATTAATTGTTTGAGAAAGGAAGAGACTAGATGATATCGCGATTGCTTTCTCATTATTAGAGAATTTATTTCATTTTTTCCGTCTCTGTGTATTTCTAGGATACAGAAATGTATGAATTATAGCTAGAAAAAAGGAAATTAGTAAGGTTTTGTCAAAATATGCTATGGTCGCCCGGTATGGATCTGTGGAGATTAAATTTCCTGAGCGAAACAGAGATGGTAACATCACCATTACAAACATTACGACACATTTAGAATGTTATTCGAGCAAAAATCAGCTGCGTCGTTGACCTGAATTTTTAGTCAAATGAAAGGATTCATTTTTTTTTAACTGAAATTAAGCTTCAATTTATTCGATCTTCCATTTTAAGCCAAAATTTCGTAGCTGGTCGCACTGATAGCAATAAAATGGTTAAGGATTTATGATAAATTTCATTCTTGTTATTGGAATATTAAAAATGCTAAAATGAATTTGTTTCGCCTGTCTGATAAACACAGTGGAGGCTGATGACAGCGACGGATCCACGGCCTGTGTCAGACGGCATCGTGCAAAATGAAAGTGCACGGACAACTACGAAGTTATGTATATAAACCTTCAAAAATTTCGACCGTACTTTTCTCGTATGTATGTACATACGTACGTGTATCGGGGTGTAGGGAAAATTACCACACCATCTAGTCTGTGAACCACGACGCTCGACATGCATACATATTCACGTTAAACAGTCCCGCGAAAAGTGCATCGCGTTTCACTGGAACTCCCGCTTTTTAACCAAATATACGAGACAGTCGAGTGGTGGCCATCAGAGCCGGTAGCCACCTTTTTATTACCCTCTTCTTTTCCTTTTTTTTCTTTTTTTCCTTTTTTTTTTTTTCGTTGTTTTTACAATATTTACAGAAGGCCAACGTCGTAACAGGGAAACAAGGCAGGGGAAAAAGCTTTTAGCGATTAAACTTTCGCACGGGGAATCCGAGAAAGGAAATTGTTGCGGGAAATATTTCGCGTGGACCGTGGCTGTAATTTGTGACGTTGCCTCGGTTTCGTGGATGAAAAGGAAAGAAAAGAAAACTGTTTAGGCTGCTAAAGTGGAACAATTAATCGCAGTGGAAATTGCAACAGCTGACCCGTTGGTAAATACGCGTTTCATCCTCATGCAGGTTGTTACGCTATTGTATCCACCCGCGAATAAATATTGTTGCCGATCGATCTGTCTTTTAATTAGTTTGCTCTCCAATTTTTCATGAGTTTTTAGTTCGACTGTACAGTGATGAGCAAAGATTTCGTGGACTATACCTTTCATTGATAATTTAATTCAGTCTGAATTCAAATAATTAATAAAAAGCACGTGTTGTCATCTTTTGCAAACTGCAATATTATTATGCGATCAAATTTTCGTCAGACTTTTGATGTTACGAAATGAATTTCCTCGCATAATATTCAGCGGTCTAATAATAATACTTTCGTTTGACAGAGTAATTATAGTAATTATTCGCTGAAGAGTTCCTAAGCTTGGCAGCGTTATTGTACGTAGGAACACGGATATTTTGAAGTACCCTTTATTTATACCATTTATATGAAACGTGAATATAATTAAACAGCAAAACAAGGTATCGCTCGATCTTCTGAATATCCGTCATTAACTGTACCATAGCAAATTAAACATCGAAACACCAATTTCCGCGGCGAGCATACATTTGCACGTCTATCCAAAGTGTATACACAGAGTATTATAAATGCGTGCAACGAGAATTGCATGCTATATTACCAAGAGAATAACAGACAACGAGTCTCTCTCTCTCTCTCTCAGGATTCAATGAGCCGTTCTGTTGGTCACTTCTGACTCGAAGGAAACTGGACGTGGTTTGAGTACCAAAAGCGTCTTTGATTCACCATAAACTCGGACCGTCTGAATATCGCGTAAAATGAACTCTCCATGAATAATTAACGGCCGCTTACCGATATTCCGCTGCACTCCGCGTTGAAGTACAGGAAGGGTGGAATATAGGAAGCATACGTACACCCTCCCGTGTTTCGAAAGTTCTTTGTACAGTTTAATACTCCGTACGTTTTCGCTCATTTCGACATTTTTGTTATTTGCACATTGAAAAGTCAAATCAAGAGCAAATCAGAGACGCAGATTGGTGGAATATAACCTGTTGTATTTTCGCGGAAAAATGACAGAGAGACGTGAAAAATCGGCTCGACGTGAATTTTTTATCCAAAAGAAGAGTCCCATTTATTCAGTGGAAATGGCAGATAAAAAGTGAACGTATTTCCATATACAAGGGGTAAAATTTTCAATGCGAAATTGTGTTTTTCAATTTAGCAAGATTGTAATCGTCTCTTTAACGTATAGGAAAATTGAAGCTTTCATAATAAAATACATATTCTTTTTTCTTTGTAGGGAAAATTTCAACTTTCTTGATACATCAATTTTTAATCCCATAGAACGTCTAGAAATGGCCGGTACAAAGGAGAGTAGCCCCTTAAGTCCGATAACGTTATCGAGTAAAATAAAATAAAAAATGTTTTACACGTGGGAAACGGTTGTTCCATTGCACGTAAAGTGCGTCTAGAAAGCTTCGGAAGTCTGTTTGGAAGGTCTTAAACGTTGAAGCTTAACCGACACCCCACAGCAGTAGAACAAGAACGCCCCGCGTAAGAGGGTACGAAGATATGTAGGCGAAAAAAGAAGTAAAAGAATAAAGGGTAACTTCGACTCTTCCTGCACACATACACAGGCCTGGTTGTTTTGTTCCTTCTTTTTTTAACTCCATGTCTATCGTGTTCTTCTTTCTTCTAACGGCTAGCATTTTTTTAACCTTTTCTCCTCCACTATCCTGACTTGTGAAGCGCGAAAGGAAATAAGAGTCGTTCCATGGCATCGTCTATCCGTTCATTTAACCAGGTTTGCTGTCGGAGCTATTACTTACGAGTTTCCACTTTCTTCTGGTTTCTACCACCCTCTGTCTTTACGCCTTGTTCGCCTTGGTATATCCTTGCCACATATACTTAAAAACTGTACACGTTCCTGGCGTAGCACTCTGATCGAATCCTCGTCGTCGCGTCGGAAGCTTCTTAGTTCACCGGTTCCTTTGCATTCAGCTAATCTTCTCATCGGATTTACTTCCGTCGAGCTTCGACTTTTTGTCCCGCAAGAACAAGCAACCTTCGTCCTAACTAAGCAACACAAATCTTTCCGTCTTAACTGGTCGATGGCTCTGTTTTCTTTTTTTTTTTTTTTTAAGTTTCTTCCACGGTTAGCATTAGAGGATCGATCTTTTGCGGTCTGGGTAGGGAGGAGATTTCACAGGTTCGAAATTAGCAAATGGGATCCAAAGACCAGATGGGCAAGCGTGCCGGCAAAACCCGTGACAAACTGTTACTAACTCGTAATTCGATTCGACTGCAATTCGAGCACCACCCGATGGATAATGCCTACACACTTCTCCACAACCGTAGCACGCCTCCATTAGGCCAGTTTACATGGTACACTTGCTACCGCCGCGGCTAAATACCACATTCAAACTATCTAGCGAATCAGGCATTCGGTTAATACGACTTAAGTAGGTATCTCGATCGATTTTAACACTGTCTGCGATGTGGAAGCACCATTCAGACTGAGAATTGAAAACGTTGCTTAATACGTACCAGTTGGATACCATTGTTCCGTACGTGTGTGGAAGTGTACAAACTTCTGGATAATTGTTTCATGGGGTAGATTCCTGTTCTCGGATTGAAAAATTTCTACGAGTTAAGGGACCTTCCGACGGTCAATATACATTGTCAATATAATTGTGCCAATAGAGCCGATGTTTATTGAAAATGTGTATTTGCTTCATACGTTCGTGTTGAAGGGTTATGTAAATAAATACTCGCGTAGAGTATAGTGTGTGAATAATTATATATATTTAGAAACGGTGGAAAGAAGACTTCTGTACAAGACGGGCGCACAATTAGAACTAAGCAAAATACGGCGACAGTCGCTGGAAATTCGCAGGCGTCTTCAACCCTTAATTTATCTGAAGTGCAATAAAAGTGAAAGGGAACAGATTTCGACTATTTCCCAACATCTGTAGGATGTGGAGTTTTTCCATGACATATACCTCAACAGTTCGATATTTGTTTGCAATACGTTTATAATAGTCGGCTGATTTATCGAACTTTCTTCTACTTACTTTTCAGTGATCGTCTCAACGATAAATGCTACCTCACAATTTTCCAAAAATATAAGATTAAAATAGTTCGCTCGATTT